GGATACTAATTATGTTTACACGCCTATTCCGTAGGATATACCGACTTAAAGGTTCTGCCTCACGCTCTCGCAGTCTTAACTAAATCGTACTTCTTAATTCCAAGATTTTGCTCTCGCTCGCCCGACAACTAAGAATTACTCTTTGAAATCCAATAATATCTTAATCAACATCTAAAGCGATCTCGCTATATTTATATATTGATGTCTAATTTCCACTATCTGGTTCACTCCTCACGCTCTCACGGATCTCGGCCTAAACCTTTATTTGCTTCTCACTCTCGTGATGAAACAATGTTAAGTAACCTCTCACTCTCGTGACAAAACTACTTAAATTAGACTTAGAAATTACAACCAAAATGGCATGCATTCACAATTTCATACCTATTATAACTATGGAGTCCCGCCGGTTACGACAGTCCTCATAAGACGGTCTCTAATTAATTTAGCCGGACATAATGAATTATAATCTTAACATGTTAACAATTCTGAAAATTACAACATGCATATTGAATTGATTGTAAGAAAATATTAGTTTTTGGTTTTTATGAAAATAAGTTAAGTTGCAGACACGTAGAAATAAAATGAAATAAAAACAGAAAAATAAGAACCTCTAAATTTCAATGGACTAAATGAAAAACAAAATTTAATTATTCTTCGATCCAAGTATACAGCAACGCAACTGAAAAATAAAGTACAATACTGCAACAATTCCTCGATGTGAGCAATTGTTGCTTTGAAAAGTAAATATGTGGTTAAAGCTCTAAAGAAAATTCAGCAGCGCTTCCGCACGGGTTAGATCCTTCGAACTACCCCCCAAGAGGTCTATTTATAGAGGATAATGCAGTTGTATAACCCCCATTTCGAATTATGGACTTGGAGGGAAAAGAAACTGCTAGAAACTGCTCAAAAACTGAATTCTACAGTTAAAACTGCTCCTGCAAACTGTACGGCGATCACCGTGGTGCCCATGGTGAGCGTCATGGTCTCTATGGATGTGTGGTGGCTTTCAGCAGGCAGATGGAGAATGCCATTTAGAGGTGGCGAGCGCCATATCAGAAAAGCTGGCAGATCTTGCTGATTTTTGCTGTTCTAGCTGGATTTTTCTTCTCTTTCACTTTTTTCTCGATTTCTTCTAAGATCTCGACGGGAACACCTGACAACGTAAAAACAGAATAAGAACACAATAAAATTCAAAATACTTGATAAAAACTCAAAACTAAAATGCGCAAAGTGAGCCTAAAAATACGATACAAAATCATGTTATCAGTTAACAAGGCTTGTTGGTGAGATGATTTATGAAGTAAGGCACATAAATGGGATAGGAGATAATCTCATGGTTGATCTCAAGCAGATGTAGTAGTGCTCTTGTAGGAGTTGGATGCTCATTGGAATTCCATGCTACCATGAAATTACATGCATCTAAAGTAGAGCTGAAGATCCTGCAAATTACATTCCTCGCATCCTATGTATAGGAAGGAGACTTACCAGGCTTTTTATAGACCAATCATATATCCAACCAATGCTGAAAACTTATGGTAAGAGACTCAATACCCCAAAATACTGCCACCACCATCAAGAAGAGCACCAGAGAGGCCTAAGAGAAGAAGAAACAAGGATTGTAATGAAAAGAGAAAAGATACAACAATTGTTAGTAGGAAAGGACTGCCAAATAAATTTTTAGTGTGTGGTAAATATGGCCACATCAAATCCTCATGCCGAAGTGCATCAACACTAAAAGACAACATGAACAATCCTAAACACAACCAACCCAATATGAAAAATCCCAAAACAACCAACCCAATCAACACAAGTCCAAACACAACCAACTTAACCAACACAATCCCAAACACAGCCAACTCCGAGAGTTCAAACTAGACTATCACCAAGAAGAACCCAACACAAAAATTCACAATCCTAAACACAATCAACCACAAGACTTCAAACTAGGCTATCACCAAGAAGAACCTAAACCCAATAAACACAATCCCAAACACGACCAACAACAGGACTTCAAACAAGGCTATCACCAGGAAGAATCCAAAACCAAGTCGGACAAGACCAAACACAACCTACCCCTAGACTCCAAACAAAGGTATCACTAAGAAGAGGTACTGTAACATTTCAGGGACCAACTGCATCATTTCAGGCACCAAGAAGAACCATACCTAAGCTACCCATAAAGAGAAAAAATAATTAGGATGTTGTCTGTTGTATTTTGATGAACTAGGATCATGCATTTTGGATGTTGTTTTTGTATTTATGATGTTATGTTGCTAACTTATAAATATGTATTGTGGATTATGATTATATGTTTTGGATGACTACTATGTATTTTGGATGGATACTTTATGTATTTTGTTTGGTTTAATGAATAATATTAAGGCCTTATCATTTTTTTTATTAACTGCCCTTTATGTTTAATAAGGAATCTTGTGATATTTTATCCAATTTCCAGGTCCATTGTTTTTACAGTAAACTCAGTTGTAAAACACAGGTCATTGAAGTCTCTTTTAGTGTAACAAATATGGCCTTTAAGTCTTGATCTGACCTGATCAGGAGGGGATCACGGGCTGACCACACGCTGTTGGGCTGCTACCTGTTCACCGGTGATGAGGAGGAGAAGGGGGTGTACCTGCAAGACACTCCGATGCCAAAGTAAGAAATTGGGCAGAGTGAGAGCGAAGTACAAAAAGGGCAAGATGTGAGTTACCTGACCCTCTTGAGGAAGAGGGTATTTATAGAGAGACCCCAGCGCTGGGCCAACGGTCATTTGAGGTGGGCTGGATGACCAGGCCCAACCCTAATGACTGCTAGGGCTTACGTGGCGTAGTGAAGACCAGAACGTGGTCTTCGCCCTAGTCCAACTATCCCGTGGTCTCCGGAAAGTGGGTTTGACCTGCTCTTTCGGAGGTGGGCAGTTAGGAGCTGACGTGTCCCCGCAGAGGGGTGCACGTGGAGAACGTGCGCCGGGCACGTTGTTCTCCCCGCGGGGGGGGGGGGGGGGGGGGGGGGGGGGGGGGGGGAGCTCGGGAGATTCCCCGGGGCGCGATATTCTTCCCGCGGAGGGGCGGAGCCGAGGCCTCGTTTTGATACGCTGGGGTGCGTCCTGCTCGGCTGATAAGAGGGAACGACGAGAGGCTGTGGGCTACGTCGCCCGCGCCCGGTGGTGCGTTCCGCCCGTCCAGCAGGGCGTGCGTGGCCAATTCGCTTATTGGGCCGCGCGAGGTACTGGGCTGGACCGAGGTCGGGCCCAGGCCAGAACAAGTCTTATTTAGTGTAACAAATATGGGCATAAACTATGTCCTTACTGCAACATAAAGTCGACAGAATCTAACAACATCAAATTGGACACAAACATATCCTTTAAAAATGCTTACTTGAACATCAAATATGGGCCCAAATTAAACATCATCATTGAAGAAAGTCATTACAATATAACATTAACAAATTGTCTTACAACACTAACATTAACATAAACCATAATCACCACTTATTGATCAAAATACACATCAACATTACAAAAATCATAACTAAAAACATTATGAGAAAGACTAGCATCTTCAACATATTCTTCATCATCTCTTTTGTTTAGTTGTCATCATTTTGAAGATTGACACTACTGTATTTCTGTTTGTCCTTCACCATTGTGCTCTTCAAACCACTCAAAATAATTGTCATAGTTTGAACCTTCAGTCTATTAACATATAATAGTTAGCATTATCGAAAAAGACATAGAAGAAGATAACAATAAAAGTACCACAAAGTATCTGTAGCTCCAAAATAACTCTCCAAAATTTCGTCTTTTCTTCATAACTGTTTGTATCACTACTTTGCCTCCACAAGGACACCTTGGTGCGATTTCACCATGAGTTGCACTCGAAATGAAGGAATAATAGTTCAGACTTTGTGAATTAGACCCATTTGTATCATATGAATCCATTGTTGCAGAAGGGAGAAGATGAATTCGAGTGGGAGAAAAAGAACACAACTCTAAAGATTTGATGAAGAGGAAAGTGATTTTATCTAATTATTTAAAGATGAATTAAAAACAATTACATCTAAGCAACATTAATGACAACTATACATTTTTAGAACAAAATCATTAAAAAAACCAATGATGTAGACGTCATGTAACTTAAATGACTAACTTGTAGAATAAAAAAACTTAAAAGACCATTCTATTACAATTAAATAACTTAAAAGATCTTTGGTGTAATAATGCCAAAAATTAAAATAGAAAAAATTTAAAATTCATATGACAAGCCCCCATTCTAGTTCTAATTTAAGGCTATGTATGAATTCGGTAAAATGAACGGAGTATAATGGAGCGCAACGAAATGGAGTGTAGCAGAATAAAATAAAGATATCATTCTATTGTTTAAATATTTCATAATAGAAAAGATCAAATTTATCATTAATTCAAAATTAAAAAAAAAAAACAAAAAATGATAGAATGAGATGAAATGCACTCAATTCCATCCATTTTAATTAATTTAACTATCGAAATTTAAGTTTATTCAATTTCATCTCATGTGATTCCATCATTTTCCAAGAATATAAGTTTAAAAGAAAATTAAGACTGTTAATCTGAAACAGCTAAAAATTGATTAGCAAAGATTTGAAAAATTTTATTTATCGCACACTAAAACTCACCCAGCGAATCCTCCCTCCCAAATCAAATCGCTCCTCTTAGAGCATTCCGCCGCCCTCCCCACTGCCCGGTCATCCTCTCGCGATCAACTCATCGGCCGTTTTCCCTCATCATCTCCCATCCCCATTCTCAGCGTTTGTAAGTCGCTCCACTTCTCTATTTCGTTTTATTACGATGTGCTTTCGTTTAGGTTAATCGTGAAATTCGTTATGAAACGATGATTACACGTAGTGCACCATTTAGCAGTAAAGCAGAAAGTGTAGCTGATAGTAGTGCGCACTTTTCTTTCTTACATGGGTAATCTAAAAAATCAAATTGATTTCTCAGTTTTTTGGCTTTCTTTCTAGGAATGGGTCTTCTCACCATCATTCGGAAAATCAAAAAGAAAGAAAAGGAAATGAGAATTCTTATGGTGTAAGTTTATCTTCCAATTCCTTTTCCATTGCTCTAGATTTTACTCATTAACTAATAGTTGAGATTTATACGCAGTGGGTTGGACAATTCTGGAAAAACTACAATCGTTTTGAAGATTAATGGGGAGGACACTAGTGTCATCAGTCCTACCCTTGGCTTCAACATCAAAACCATCGCCTACCAGAAGTAAAACCTTGCTTTATTCTAAGAACATGATAGTTTTTGTATTTGCTTGTGATTTCCCTTTACAAAATAAATTGCTTTTGATGAGTTTCTTGCGTTGATTTACTATAATCTAAAATGCTGGGGCATTTATTGAAATTGGCAATGGCAGGTACACTCTAAATATATGGGATGTTGGAGGCCAGAAAACAATTTGATCTTACTGGAGAAACTACTTTGAGCAAACAGATGGTTTAGTTTGGGTAGTTGACAGTTCAGATCTTAGAAGGTTGGATGATTGCAAAATGGAGCTAGATAACCTTCTAAAGGAAGAGGTTTGTTCAATACAAATAGTTATTACTTGTCAACGTAACAAATTAATTACATGTAGTGCTTAACTGAAGATATTCAGACATTTTAGGCATACCAATTCATATCCCTTTATTTGATGTATTGATTGGGAAAGACTTGTGTCTCCTCTGTGCTAATGCATCCATCCAAGTTGAGTAGTTGTCCAAAGAATCTGTTAGAAATTTTGGTCAAGAACCACAGTGCCTTTGGTGGATGCAGCAAATCCTGTTTATTCCATTAGTTGTTGATTTCCTTTTCTTATGATAACATGTTCGATTACCTTATTGGGGATTTTTTTTAGTGGGAGTACCAAAGCAATCATAACTCGTAAGTAGGGCTGTTCGTGGTATGGTTAGTGAGAAAACTGAACTGAACTGAACCGTTTCGGTTTACTCAAAACTATACCATTAGCTCGATTCTCTCGCACTTGAACATAATGCTTTATTTCCTCAAAACCAGCTATAAGTATTTCTCATTGAAAATCATTTGGGATGCTTGTATGACATCCCAAATGAATATGCCGCTCTTCTCTGGGTGTTTGTGAGCTACTAGTATTTTCAAATGTCAATAATTTTGTTTTATGTATACAGAGACTGTCTGGAGCATCCTTACTAATTCTAGCAAATAAACAAGATATTAAAGGCGCCTTAGCTCCGGAAGAAATAGCTAAGGTAAGCTTAATTTTATCTGGGTTTTCTTCTCTTACCTAACTAACATTGAAGGGATTATGAATAAAAAAATACATGATATATTGAGAATTGACTGTAAGTTAACTTAGTAATCGCATTTCAAATCACTGCAATTATGGATATACACCTCCATAAGATATCTACGATTGTGTTGGTGTTTTTGTTTTAAGTGCGAGCATAGCTAATTAACCACCAAGCAATCCATATTTTTCTTTGAAACTTTCAAGTTGGTGGTGATCAATCTTAGAATGTTTTTCCATTTGTGGTACTATCCTATTCATACATTCGTACATTCTATTTAGAACTTATCATCAATAATGAATTTAAGAGCATAATGTAAGATGGGGTTAAGAAAATGGCTGCAACAATATGCAATTGCCTATATAGTTGTTTGTCCCATCTTTCATCAATAATTCAATATGGGGCTTATCTAGAAGATCTTACATAAGCAAGAATTTAGGCAATGTGTTTAAGATGATTGATGATATCCTTGACGAAGTTGGGAAAGATAAGATTGTCCAGGGTGTTACAAACAATGCTGCAAATTGCAAAGCGGAAGCAGTTGTATTGGACACGTTGTGTTGCTTATTGCATTACTGATGAAAGATGGGATAAACAACAACACAGCAATGACAGCCCATTGCTGACCATTTTCGTAACCCACATTATGCTGCCAAATTCACTATTGATAATGAAGTTCTAGATGGAATATATGAATGTTTGAATAGGATGGTGTCAGACTTGGAAAAACATTCTAAGATTTGATCACCAACTTAAAAGTTGCATAGAAAAAGATGAGTTGTTTGGTGGTGAATTAAGCAATGTTTGCCGTTAAAACCAAAACACCATCATAATGGTGGGATCTTATGATGGTGCATACCTAGAATTGCAGTGTTAGTACCAAGTTTATTCGGTTGTAAAAGGAATTCGAGTGTCTTTGAAAGAGTAAACAAGATTTTAAGTACTCAACTATTAATAATCTCGACTATATTGTTTTAACTATTAATTTATTTTGGTCTACACTAAAAAAAGGAATTGTTTAAAGCAAAAAACGATGAATGATGTAGACTATGTGATGACTAATTCAATGTTGGGCAAAAAGAAGGAAGCTAAGAAATCATCAAACACTTTTTATGAAGTTATTCATTATGAAGATGAATGGTAAGAGAGCAGGGATGGTAATGAGTGTATGCACAAAGACATCGTATTCAATGTTAGAGAGGATGTCACTAGTGTTAGGTGATGATTTGGATGCTCGAGTCCTATTAATGATGAAGAATTATAAAAGAAGGAAATTGAGGATGACAATGCTTATATGGGATTGGATTACATCTAGAATTGTTGTTTTTAGATTGTTTTCATTTTCAACTCAGTTCTTATGGTTACGTTTTGGGTATGAATTTATGATTATAAACGTATTTTAATGTTGTCGTTTAGAAGTTATTTTTTTCACAAATGATTATTTTTGGGCGTATTTGTCATTTAGAAGTTATGAACTCAGTTCTTATGATTATTTTTTCATAAAATCTTTCAATACTGCTGCTTTTATATTTGTTCTGATTTTGGTGGCATATGCCATTGGGTTTGGCATTTCCCAGTTTAGGCAACTAGTTGTCAACCTTGTTCTTTGAAGTATGATTATTATAAAAAGTAATGCAGTTTAGGGTCCTTTAGATATGATTCTTTGTAACGTAATAACACTTCATTCTGAAGGCGATACTACATAAAACTAAAAGTACAAATCTATTCTCATTATGAGATTGAGTACAATGATCAAAATGATTTAAAACATGTAGGTGATACACAACAAAATAAAGTCACACAAGAAACATAGTTCATTCGTTTGACAATATATGGAAACCTTGAATATTTCAAAAATATCCTCGCAGTTATGTGAGCACTGAGTTGATTTCAGAAGTTCCAACTTTCAATTGATTTTACTTGTTTTTATGAAACAGTGAAGGTAGAGTTTATCTCTCGCTTAATGTATATATTTTCTAGATGTTTATTTACTGATGTGCTCTAATTGCGCAGGTGTTGAACTTAGAAATTATGGATAAGTCTCGGCACTGGATGATAGTTGGATGTAGTGCATTCACCGGTGAGGGTTTGCTCGAGGGATTTGATTGGTTGGTCCAGGACATAGCATCTAGAATCTACGTGCTCGACTAATTTTGATCATGTCAATATCCATGAAAGGGTTCAAAGTTCAAACTTAGAATTTAAGAGCATTCTTAATCCCAATATGCTATCATCAGAAGACATCGCTATGCATCTCTTAAGATGTTTTCACATGGAATTTTTCCTTTTGTATTCAAACATATAATCTAGTCAGTGTACTGAGATTGTTTATTCAAACAAGGATGAAGCTATTGCACGACTTTACAATGAGCTTTTTATAGATTAATATCTATTTTAAATTGATGCTTCAAAGTGTGGTTCATTGTGATTTGTTATAAAGGATGATCATGTAAACAGTCTCAACTAACATTTAGTTATCTATAGCTTCTACTGGCATTCATGTAACTAAGCAAAGTTGAATCTATGCCAGCTAAACACCTTGCCTAATCAACCTAAAAGCTTCTATTTCTTAGCTAGTTTAGAGCTCTATATGAGAGAACGATCCTTTTTTTAGATTTTGAAACGCTAGTTCATTACATTTAAAATAGAATTGAACTTAATCCGGGTTAATAGAATCCTTTCAAAGATTCTGTGTATGAAAAATCTAAATTAGCAACGTCATGTTCGCTATAAATAGGACAGTGATGCATCAACGTGCAATCACAGTTCAAACGTGATTTTGTGTCTCAAATTTTCCTTGATAATGTATATTTAAAAGCAAATTTCACTGCACTTTGGTTCAATGGAAGTACTTCTAAGAGAGGTTCTTTCATTCCTAGGTATGATATGTCCAACCTTATGCCATAGCCCTCTACAATACATGGAAAGACGATGGTGGCTGTCAATGAAGTCATTTACTCCACTCTGATTTTGTTTTGTTAAATCACTTGCTACCAATGAAGTCTTTCTCAAGGAAAATCTTGGTTTTTATGGTTACTGATTTCAAGTCAAGGGCAATACTTGCCTCTACTTTCCTTTTTCATGCAAATAACTATTTACCTATTGTAAATTCGATGACTAGCTCTAATCAATCTTCTCTTTTGAATGTTAGGCTGAATCATCATAGCATTAATGTTCCACTCGAGTTAATATATAGTCTCAACTTCACAAGACACTCTGATAAAAAAAACAAGCTTGTGAAGCCTGTTTTGATAGGCTTACTAGCATTTTTCTCCAGTTTGATTTCTTAGCAAGCAAGTGCTCTCTTATTATTTGTATACACAAGAACATATACCAATACTGTTTGTATACATGTTGGTATATGTTGTTGTTGTTGATGTCATGAAATTGATCATTACAACTTAGCTCTTGTTACATCAGAATTGCTCTGGATTCGATCTTTATGATCTAAACTTGGTATCAAACTCACCATAAGATGTTCACTGTGGCAACATGAGCACCATTGCTCTTGCACACAATCACATCTTTCATGCACGTACAAAAGGAGTTACACCTTTTCAGTGTAAACGAAAAAATGCTACAGGAACAGCTCCAAGTTGTGCATATTCCTAGTCATCAACAATTTGTAGATGTGATGACTAAGGCTCTTCTTCCCTCTAAGTTTGAAGAGTTTTGTGACAAACTCAATGTGTTGTGCAATCAGTTCACCTTCAGTTGAGCCCATGATAAGGGACAAATATGTAAACAGTCTCTCAGCTAACATTTAGTTTGTTACCTATAGCCTCAATCTAGTTAGTTGAAAAAGATTGTTACTAACCAGTAATTGTCACAAATGAATCTATAACAGTTTTAACAGCTCATCGGTTAGCCTAACTAGAAGCATCTATTACCTAGCTACTTTAGAGCTTTATATAAGAGAATGATACTCTTTAAATCCTGTAACACAAATTCATTACATTCATAAATAAACAAAAATTGAACTCAATCTGAGATAGTATTGTAATACAAATCAGTGCAAATAAAAACATTCGGATATCATTGAGGTAGTATTACAGTCGGCCAAACGTGGTATCTGTTGGAATATAATTGTACAACTGCAGCAGCTATAGAGCTTCCTTTATGAGTTTCTCTGTAAGAGCTTTGGAAAGTCCCATCACTGTATCAGCTGATCCAACCTATCACAGGGATCGCAGAGCTCATTTGTTAAGAAAGCATAGGAAAAAGAGATGAATCCACACTTATGTCACCGTGAAATAAACATTCTCAAGAAAATTAACTCAATTGGCATAGATGTCTGTGAAGGCTAGGGCTACAAATATTTTCTTTTTGCAGTCATAAAAGAAAGTCCCCAAAAAGGGAGTATAGAAATATAGGAATTGAAGTGATTCACATCATTAATCGTTTTGAATTTTGGTGGCAACGAGGGTAATGATACTCTACTGTGCAAAGAATGCATATTGCAAATGATCTTGTTATTTTGTGCATGTGTATGCTTTTGAGAGTTAGTTACTAACCACCGCATCCACAAAGGGTAACGTCAATGGATGTTCCAGCATCAAACCCCCAGCTACGTTGAATGTTACTCCGTCATCAATCTGAGAAGCTCCCATCAAATAAGAAAACTCATATAGTATTGGGTTTCACAAGAATTTCCTGAAAGAAAATTTCAAAAGATCAAATGTTTTGAGGAACTGGTTAAAGTACTCTTTTCACCTTCATACTTAGCTCAGTGCAAGGGTGAAAAGTGTACTTCTAAATTTTTTTACCAGATTATCAATGACCTCGTCTGGTATTTCAAGGAAATAAACCTGTCATATAGAGAAAATTTTACAAATGTCAGTCAAATTATCTGTGAAGCCTGAAGAGAAATGCTGAGTTACAGAATAAACTGTGTATCAATGAAAATAACTAGTCACTTTTTCAAGTAGCAGAAACTTGTACCTCTGCACTCTCCCACCCACCATAACGTTTTCCGGTCACAAGATTAGTCACCACAACAGATCCTACCACAGCTGCATGACTACCGGAATATCCTGCAAAATTATTCGCATTTGTGAATGTGACGGCTATTTCTGGATATAATTACCAACAATAAAACAAGGGGACTAAATCCATACAAACCTTTGACGAACTCCCGTGCTTCTTTTTCACTAGTCGGTTTTTCCCTGATTGTTCCTCGATATACCACAACCTACAAAGCATTTAATTGTAGCAACATAAACAAGCTTACGCGAGTTTAGAAAGTCAGTTAAAAGAAAATTAGGAAAACCGATAGTATCTTAACCAAAAGTCAAGCCTTTCTTCTTTAGTATATGCAAATAAACCGTCGGTCATTTATTTGGTCATTTATTTTCAGTGATCCACAGGTGAAAATTGAAACAAACAAACAAAGAGTAAAAGAAGAACACATACAGTGTCTGCAGTGATTAAGAGTGTTGTAGAAGCATCTGCCTCCAATGGACCATCAGTAAGGAGCCTTTGCACAATAGCATCAGCCTAGTAGAAGTATATCAAACTTAATGAAACCAGCTTATGACATTTTTTTAATATTTTTTTTGAACTTATTTTTATAGAATCTTCAAGCTATTGAAAACAATTTATAACATATATAAAAACAATTTAAATTTGTCCCGTTAAGTCGTAGTTGTGCAGGGACATCAGATGTAGATGCAGGGTAACAAGGATTCACATTCATAATTTAAATTCAAGAAGAAAACAAAAAATAGATGAAAGAAAAGAAAGCATACCTTAGCCTCAGCTAATGTGACAACCAAATCTTCTGGTTTTTCCCTTCTAATACTTTTCTCATCAATGTCTGCAGTCTAAATATATAAACCAAGTTAAACAATTTCAATCTTTTATAACATCAGGAAATAATGTCCCATAAAATAACATACCATTATTGTGAATTCGTATCCCATTTCAGCGAGAATCTGTTTGCGAGCTTGTGAGGAAGATCCCAGAATTATCTGTTGCAAGATAGTAATGAGCAATAACAAACTCATAGATCAACTGGTTTATGTTTATGAAGGTTTTAATTACAAAAGAATCATGGAGAAAAGGTGCAAGGGGAAACGAAGCAAACCTTGAAGGAAGGGTTCTTCGTAGCCATCTGTGATAATCGGCGAGTGCGTGGTTTGTAAGCTCTTGCTTGCAGTTGTGAGCTGCTTCCTGAAGATCAGGAGCTGGAGGCTACAATAAATAACAACCAAGGATAAACAAACTCCATGGGCCTTTAGTATTAAGACAAAAAAAAGTCATATTTGTTGTTTTTCTAAAAAAAAATTGTAAATTGTAAATTTCTTTTATTATAAATTGTGAAATGTTAAGTTAGTTTTTTTTTCTAATAGTACTAGATAAAAACTAAGCTTGGGGTAGGATTGAGATAAAACTAATCTTACTAGATAACACTCGTGTGATCATATCGATATATCTTGGGTGTTATACAATATCTTGGGGAATCAAGTTAAAAGTAAATTTTTTTATTTATTCTAAACTATAGCATTTGAATTTAATATTAAATTTAATTTAATTTAATGATTAATCATTTTATTTTACCTATTCAATTCAATTCAATATGATTCAGAGTAAATTAAAAAAAAATATATTTTTAAAATATATTAATCTCCATTATATATATATATATATATATATATATATATATATATATATATATATATATATATATATATATATATATATATATATATATATATATATATATATATATATATATATATATATATATATATATATATATATATATATATACCTGGACTTGCCAAATCTAAGGTATATTTCTTAATTTATCATGAAATTTAGTGGCTAAATTTATGTTGTGAGAGGTTGATTATGCTTAGACAAAACTAAGTAGGTAATTTTTTCTCATAACATATTATTAACTAGCAAACAACCTTTTCAAAGTGTTTTTAAAAACTAAAAAGTGTTTTTAGTGTTTTCTTAAACATTCATCTTTTTTTTTTCCCGGGGAAGGGAGTTGTTGATGATTTCAAAAAAGAAAATTTTTGCTAAAAACATTTTGACATCTTTGATTTGGGAGAAATCCTTCTATCCCTTCGGGTTGATAGTTAAACAATTTGTTGTTTGCTTAGATGACTTTTAATTGGTTGTTGTTTTAGCTAAAATTATGTTATGAGTCCAAGTTATCTATTTAGATTTAACTTTGCATATCAACCAATCACAACATTCTTAGCCTATTGCCCTATGGATTCTGATGATGATAATCATCAAAATAATTTAATAAAAAATGAAGAATTAATTGAATATCCAAAAAATATGGATAAACTCAACAGATGGGTTATACCCTCAGTTCCTTCTAATCAAATTTATAGATTTGGTAAGATAGATGTTTTTTCTCGTTTTGCTGTTAAAACTTTAGAGCAAACGATTCAAATTTCTAAAGAAACTCAGACAATAAAACTGTTAACTAAAAAAGATTTGAAACCTTTTAAAAATTATAATTTTATCCATATTGGATTGGTTCAAATTGCTTTAAAACCTTTAACATTATTGGGTTTAAATTCTAGCATAATGGCTTATGTTAGAGATGGTAGATGTAAAGATTTCAAACAATCTTTAGCTGCTATGGTTGAGACAAGTCTGTGTCATGGACCAGTTTACTTTGATGTCTCACCTAATTTAAATCTATCTTTATCTGATAAAAATTTATTAGATGCTATGCAATTAACAGTTCATACTAATGGTTATAATTTTAAACCGGGAAGTGAAATTATAGCAATATGCTATAGAATCTACTATAAGGTTCTTACTACGCTTAATCCTAAAGCAAAGCATTTATCATTTCCTGGAACCACTACTTTGGTTCAAACAAATTTATTAACATCCAATGTTGCAACCAATAGGTTAATAAAGTGGGATGAAATAAACTTCCCAGAGACATGGTCTCTCCCCCAGGAAATAGATCCTGAACCTATCCTTAATAGGGATATAGACCAAATTATTCAGACTACTGAAGGAGATTTAGAAATAAATTTCACTTCAAAAAGAATAACTAGAATACCCAGGTCCCTATCTGCTAGGCACTCAGTTAGTGAATTTTACACAGCTCCTAGCCAATTACCTAGACCTTCTACTTCTCAAATAAGAGAAGAAATAGAGGTCGTTGAGAATATAAGACTAAGCGAAAATAGAGTTCCCCATGGAATTTATCAAAAACCTCATACTCCAAGAGTAGAATCACCTACTCAGTCAGATATGGATTTCCAATTATAATGATAGATTACTCCCCTGGTCGTAAGATGAGACAACTCATCAATGATGAGTTTCAACATGAGAGATACTCTCAATTTAGAAATTGGTTTTTTAAAAAATTTTCAAAACCTGAATTAGCCCAATTTAAAGATGAGTATTACACTCAAATGAACCTTGAGCAGGATTTCGTTCCTTTTGTTAAATGGTTTGTTAATTACTTTATAAATAAAAAGCAAGAAGAAATTCTTGTGTTACAAAGACCTTGGGAAAATATTAGAGGAGAAATAATGGAATCTCCTTTTCCCCCTGAACAAACAATAAGTTTGAGTCAAAATACTGAAGCTACCCCTTACCTTAGCCTTCAGTTACAAAGAGTTGAACAAAATCAAGTTACTCTTAAGGAATTAAATTCAGTTATCAGGTCTCAAAATTATACCAATGCTTACCTTGTTTGCTTAGGAGAACAATTTATCTCCATGGAAAAAGATCTATTATCCATAAAAGATCTTTTAGAAAAACAAATAGAGCGTCAAGATATCATTATTGACCACATAAGTAAACCTAAAGACCAAATATCCACATCCACTATTTCGGATGTTCCTATAGTACAACCTCCTGTTTCCATAGAAGGATTTAAATTGGAAACTAACGGAGAAGAATTTGTTCGTATTTTAGAACAAAAACTAAAAGGACTTAATATCACTGTCATGTCCCATGAAGATTATTCTGAGGATAATAATGACAACCATATTGACCAGCTTGCTGATATGTTTGCTAATTTAGACATTAGTAACCTTGATATTAATACTAATAGTATTAATAATACTAATAGTATAAATCCTGTTTATTCCCCAAGGCCTATAGAAAAGTATTATTACAAGCGTCCCTCACCGCAAGATTTGCTTTTTGAGGAATCAGAACCTTTCCAGAATTCTTATTCAGGAAAAGCCATTTATGAATGGAATGTTGATGGTCTTAATGACAAACAAATTATAGATACTATCCATAGGATGATCATGTACTCTACTGTTTGCAAGCAACATGGAAATTCTGATGCTTCAATAGCATCCTTTATAACAACAGGATTTGTTGGCCAACTTAGAGGCTGGTGGGATCATTATCTCACTGAATCTCAAAAATTAGAGATTCTTAATCATAAAAAAATCGTTAAGAGCGAACCAAGAACTAGTACGAGCACTATTGTGGCTACAACCACCACAGGAGAAGAAGATGCAGTGTATACACTGTGTCTCTCCATCTTACAACATTTTGTAGGAACCAATGTCCCCATTAGAGAAAAAATCCAGACACTTCTCCAAAACCTTAGGTGTCCTTCTCTCACCCACTTTAGATGGTATAAGGATACTTTTCTTTCAAGAGTTTATCAATTAAACAATCCCAATTCTTTGCATTGGAAAGCAAAATTTATTGATGGATTACCTCATTTCTTTTCAGAAAAAGTTAGACAATCCTTAAGACAGAAAAATGATGGGATAAATATAAATTTTTCAGATCTTACTTATGGTCATATAATTAGCACTTGTGTTAATGAAGGATTAACTTTATGTAATGACATAAAGCTTAGAAATCAACTCAAAAAGCAAAAGCTTTCTGAAAAACACCAAATTGGTGAATTTTGTGAACAATTTGCTTTTGATCTTGGAAAATCTCCAGATAATAAAAAGAAAAAAGAAAAAATTTTCCGCAATAAACCTTATAGGGATAAGCCAAAAAATTCTTATAAAAATTCTTATAAGAATAAGAAAAGGGGCCACTACAATAAGAGTAGACCTAAAGAAAAATCTTTTGACCCTAAAGGTAAAAGAAAAGCCAAAAGGCTTGACATAACATGTCATAAATGTGGCAAACCTGGCCATTATGCCAACCAATGTTGGACTAAAAAAGCTCTTAATGAGATAGAAGATGAACAATTACGTTCTCAATTAGAGAAAGTTTTACTTCTCAAATCTGATTCTGAAGAATACTCTTCTGAAGAAGATATTAATATGATTTATGAATCTTCTTCTGATTACTCATCTGAATCTTCTAACAATAATAATTGTCAATGTAATCAATTAGATTACTGGAAATCAATAGTAGATATGAATGGGTTAAATGTTTTAACCTCAGAACAGGATGGAGCTATAAAGGCTATAGAGTCCATTTCTGATAAAAACCTTAAAAGAAAAATGCTTGAGGTTCTAATCCAAGAAAACTCTAAAAGAGAATCTCCTATTATTATAGAAGCACCTTACCAATTAAGTGAGGTTTTGTCTAGATTTAGACAGTCTAACATTCGTGAAACTCCTGTTTCTATTATGGATTTAAATAGAGAAATAAATCTCTTAAAAAATGAGATAGCTCAAATTAAAAAAGAAAACTATGGTTTATCTCAAAGGCTCACTTTTTTAGAGTCCAATAATTCAAGGGTTGAAGAAATAGCTTCAACTAGTAATCCTTCACCTAGTGATGATTTCCTTTCCCTCATTGATAGAGTGACCTCCCAAAAATGGTTTGTTAGAATAACTTTAGTGATTAATAGAAATTTCATATTAGAAAATGAAGTTGCCCTTATTGATAGTGGCGCTGATTTAAACTGCCTTCAAGAGGGAATTATTCCCACTAAGTATTTTGATAAAACTACTCAATCTCTTACACAAGCTGGAGGAGATAAACTCACGGTTAATTATAAACTGTCTAATGCTTATGTTTGTAACAAAGATATTTGTTTACCCACTCACTTTATTCTTGTGAAAAACTTAACTCATAGAATTATATTAGGAACTCCCTTTCTGCATAAAATTATGCCTCTAATTAATGTTGATCAAAAGGGAATTACCTCCATTATTAATAATAAAAGAATTACTTTTGAATTCATTA